CCGGGATCATATATATATATATATAATATTCAGTCTGTACACGCTTATGTATATGTCAATACCGAGGCAGGGCGCTCCAAACCGATCAGAGAGTCTCAAGACTTTTTTCACTAAGGAGTCTACTTTAAAGCAGGCTATGAAAGCTCCACGTAGGGTTTGAGGCTTAGGGAAGGTTAGGGTTTAGGGTTTAGGGTTTAGGGCACGGTTTAGGGTTTAGGGTTTGGGGTTTAGGGATGTTTAGGGTTTAGGGTAATTGAGGGTTTAGGGTTTAGGCATACTGGTTGATTCAAGGGCATTGTTTCTGTTGAAGACTACATACTGGAAGTGCCTGCATAAGGGGAGTTTCTATGTTTGGCCTATCCGTGGAGCAGTTCCCGGAGCAACGGTGAAGGATCCGCAAAACCCTAAACCCTAAACCCTAACCCTCGACCCTGAAGAATGCCGAAACCAAAGAAAGATCCGGCGAAACCCTCAGCCTTTAATCTTCAGCCTTTAAGGCCTCATGAAGCCAAATCGCTCTGCAGGCCACCTCAGCTCAAACATTCATGCTTAGAGGGTTGTTCCAAGTGTGTGTGTGTGTGTTTTTTTTAACGGTTTTGGCAAGGTTTATGAATTTTATCAGGGTTCTCGCCGTGTTCTAAGGCTACATGGGCTTGACGGTGTGTGATGAAGTGCTTTGGACTATCATTGCTTCTGTGCATGCCATGGCGGTTTCTGTCACAGTGACCCTGCTTAGTGGCACCCAAGCAACAGTTACCCTTCCTGGAGATGCAACTGTGGCAGACCTGCGGCAGAAGGCACAGAAGGCTCTAGAAACACCCTTGGGCAAGCTAATTAGTGCCTCTGGAACGCTGTTAGGCGGATCTGGCACGCTAGCGCAATCCGGAGTGCTTGATGGCGACACCATCACGGCCATTACACAGTCTGTGGCCGTAGCCGCATCTGCGGGGGCGTTTGCTCTCATCCGGGCAGATGGCTCCGTCGTGACATGGGGTTGTCCTGCTCGTGGTGGTGATAGCAGTGCAGTGCAAGACAAATTGTATGACGTGATGCAGATTCAGGCTGCCGACTCAGGTTTTGCTGCCCTCCGAGAGGACGGAGTTGTAGTTTCATGGGGCTCCCTCTCTGGCTTTTCTGATTCTTCTTCATCTTCTGAATCCGATTCCTATCGCAACGAAAGGGCGACCGGATCTATTCAGAACCAAATTCTTGATGTGCGAGAGATCCAAGCAACAAGAGATGCCTTTGCGGCCATCAAGGAAGATGGGTCCGTGATTACCTGGGGTGCTTTGGAGGCTTGCAGAGACCTTTACCCCAAACCCAAAGCAATCCTAACTGCCAAACTTCCGAAAAAATCCTAAACTCTAATCTAAGCCCTAAACTTAAATGCCAAACGTTAAACCCTGAACCCTACACTACCACCTCTCCCAGGCTGGTGGAGACAGCAGTCTGGTGCATGATCAACTTCGCAATGTGCGGCAAATCCAGGCAGCGCTTGCCCAAATACACCAAAAAATCCGTAAAGCAATCCTGAAATAGAGCTCCGCAAGGAACCTTGACATACTCAAACAAGTAGAGCCCCACAAAAAGTATCCTACCATTCCATGGTTTAGATAGGCCTTCTGTTAGGTGTTCTGTTGTGCAGATCCTTCCGAGGGTCTGGGGAAGCCAGTATGGGACTCAGTGTCTACGGGGTTTATTCCGGCCCCTAAACCCTAAACTCTACACCCTAAACCCTGAAACTTGAACCCTGAACCCTGAACCCTAAACCCTAAACCCTAGACCCCTACATTGAAGGCAACGCCTGAAGCCCCGAAGCAGAGGCGGCCAGCTGGGCCTTTGCCGCCCTGCGCAGCGACGGAACCTTCGTTGTAGAGTGGGTGATATAAAGGCCTAAATGGTTTAGGGTTAGGGGTTTAGGGTTTAGGGTATTTGGGGGTTTTTGGGGGTTTATAATAGGGGTTTAGGGGTTTCGGGGTTTAGGGGTTTCGGGGTTTAGGGGTTTGGGGCTTAGTGGGGCTTAGGGGTTCAGGGGTTTAGGGTTTAAGGTTTACGGTTTAGGGCTCCTAAACTTGGCATTCTTTTTGGTTGGCTCTTAGGACTTCAGCTCTTTGAGGTTTCTATGTGAGCTATGATATCTAGGCTAAACGTTTAAGTTTTAGGAAGGGTGCAGAAGTCAGCCAAGAATAATTACCTCTACTGTCGTGTGGATTCCTTGGTACAGTTATAGTATACTATCCCCCCCAGAAAAGCCTCTTCTAATTATTAAGGCCCCTAGAACAAGCTTCAACTTTTTTGAGGCTGCTTAGGGGTTTAGTTGTTACACTTTGAGTTCCCCCAGCATACTGGACCACTAAGGAACTGTGGTGACATGGGGGGACTCCGACCTGGGCGGCTGCAGTGAGTCTGGTTCTGGAGTACTAAACTTTACTGCTTTCTTGGGGGACCTGTTCCTTAAAGGAACCCTAAACCCTAAACCCTAAACCCTCAACCCTAAACCCTAAACCCTGAACCCTGAACCCTAAACCCTAAACCCTAAACCCTAAATAAGCCCTAAACTCTGAACCCGAAACAACCCTAAATAAGCCCCAAACCCCCGAACTCCAGGATGCTGTGCAAAGCAAGCTGAAGGACGTTCTGTACATTAAGGGCTGCGGAGAAGGCTCTGGGGACCCCTTCAAAGCCCAGACCACCGAAAGGATCCAAGAAACAGATTCCCTAAGGCTAGGGTTTTAGGGTTTAGGGTTTAGGGTTCAGGGGGTTTCTTTAAAGTACCCCTTAGTAGTATAGGGTCCCAAATTTGGGGTTCTTCTTTTTAGATCCTTCCGGTGGTCTGGGAAGCCCTAAAGCCTTAAAGCCCTACAGCCCTAAACCCTACACGGTTTAGGGTTTAGGGTTTAGGGTTTAGGGTTTCTTATGTGGGTTTTTTGTTTTGGGCCCCAGAGGCTTCAGCGCAATTACTGCCAGTGGCCACGTGGTGTCCTGGGGGTTTGAAGATGAAAACTATTGGGGGAGGATGCCGAAAATTCACAACACCATGCTGACAGACGTGGATCAATTTCAGGGTTGTGGAAGTTCCTGGGCGGCCGTGAGCAAGGACGGGGTGCTTGTTGCCTGGGACATTTATGATCCTGAGCTCCGGAGCATGCCAGGGGTTGCGTGCGTACAGGTCGTCTGTGGCTTTGACGACCGCTTGGCTTTTGCTGCTCTTCGCCGGGATGGATCCGTGGTGACATGGGGTCGGCATGTCGGCCGTTACAGCAAGACCGTCCAAGATCAGCTGGTGAACGTTGTGCAGATTCAGGCCTCATCTTTGGCATTCGCTGCGTTACGCTCCGACGGGTCAGTGGTCACCTGGGGAGACGGGAGGGCAGCAGACGCAAGAGCAGTCCAGAGCCAGTTGCAGAATGTCAAAGCCATCCAAGCCAACTTGCATGCCTTCGCTGCTCTACGAGAGGATGGATCGGTGGTTGCTTGGGGTGCGGTGGGAAGCGGAGGCTGCACAGGTGCGGTGCAAGGGCAACTGAAAAATGTCACTTGCATCCAAGCCAACAATGCAGCCTTTGCTGCGATCCGGGCTGATGGATCTGTCGTAACTTGGGGGAGCCCAGCTTTCGGCGGTGACAGCAAGCGAGTAAAGGAGCAGCTGGGCCGATCTCGGGAGGACGACGAGATCCTTTTCCAGGCTTTGGCTGAAGCCGCTGCTGCGCGCGCAGCGAAGGCGAAGACTAAGAAGGCAAAGGCCAAGGCAAAGCCCAGGGCAAAGCCCAAGGCCAAGGCCAAGCGCAAGGCCAAGGCCAAGGCCAAGGCCAAGGCCAAGGCCAAGGCCAAGGCCAAGGCCAAGGCCAAAGCCAAAGCAAAGGTGCTTCCAGTTCGCAAGAGGCCCGCTGCGAAGTAAGTCGCTCCCTGAACCCTAAACCCCAAACCCTAAACCCTAAACCTCTGGCAGCATAACGTAGGAACCTGAGTAAGGCACCCTGGCGCTCTAAACCCCCAACTATATAAGGATTCATACTAAGAACCCTAATTAAGACCCCGGGTGTCTTAATCAGGTTCCTAAATTAAATGCGGCCTAAACCCCAACCCCTAAGCCCTAAACCCTGAACCCTAAACCTTAAACCCTGAACTCTGAACTCTAAACCCTAAATCCTGAACCCCGAACCATAAACCCTAAACCCTAAACCGTTTGGGTTCAGGATTCCCCGCAACGCAAGACTCCAAGCGCCAAGCTCCGTTCCGCCAAAAAATCCGAGATGCCGGAGTCTTTGTTAAATCCTTCAGGGCCGGGTTTAGGGTTTAGGGACTGTTTAGGGTTTAGGCTTAACTTTTGGGTCCTTATACTTTACCTTTGGTCCAATGGTGAGGGATACTATTATTCAAAAACCCTAAACCCTAAACCCCTAAACCCTAAACCCTTAACCCTAATTCACGGCAGTTTGGGATTTGGGGCGCTTAAGCTGCCATAGGGGAAGGGACACGGGTTGTTTTTTCGCGTCTTTACACAGTGTCCCACGGGTTCCATAACTTTGGAGGTGCTTAAGAATAGTCTAGTTTCGACACGGGCGATCGGGGATTTTGCCGCAGGGAACCTTTAAGGGGGAACCCAATTCCAATTCACACGCTTTAGGGTTTAGGGTTTGAGGTTTAGCCCTCAAGCCAACTGCAGGTCAATCCGGGCAGGCACCTGGTTATCTGTGGCCACAATGGTGCTGGGAAGCCCTGTGCTCAGAAGTGACGTTAAGGGTTTAGGGCCTTGGGGTAAGGCTTTGTGCGGTTTTCTGTTAAATAGGTAACACTAAACCCTAAACCCTAAAACCCTAAACCCTAAGGTGTTTGTAGGTGTTGTTGTACGGTTCTATCAATCTTTTCGTGGGGTGTTCGAGGTTCAGGGGTTTGGTGTTGAGCTTTAGGGCTTAGCATTGAGGGGGTCTGGTATGCCTTACTGTAACTTTCATTGAGGAACGTGCGCAACCAGACTCTAACTAGCACAGCAGCGTACTACGGTTGATGATATAAGTCCTGCATTACCCATAATAAGGAGTATACCATAGTTCCCACAGTTTAGGGTCCTGAAGGTAATGCAGGGTTTATATCATCAACAGGCTGCTGTACTAATTAAGTTCGACACGGCTAAGCCGGGCCTGGAGGATCAAGGGACTTTGTAAATTGCTTTTAAGTAGAGTTGCAAGTGCTCTAATTGAGGCCAGCCTACTTTTACCCAGACCCCTAAATCCTAAATCCTAAATCCTAAATCCTAAACCCTCAACCCTAAACCCGGACTTGTGGCTCTTGGAAATCCCCCTGCGCCTCGAAGTGCATACTTAGTTTCAACACGAAAGTGCAAGGATTTTGGTTCAGGGTTTAGGGTTCAGGGTTTAGGGGTCCGGGTTTAGGGTTTAG